TCATCTTCCAATTCAGGCACACATGCTAGTAATACACCCCAGCTTCAGAGTTCTGGTTCTGCATCAACAGCAAAGCATGATTCCACTCTTTGAGCTTCTAGTGATACACCACTTAGACCTCATTTACTTCCTGTCCTCGATTCAGCACAACTTCAGGTAATATTACCTATCTCTGAAATGTCTTCTGGTATTGATATCTCTGTCTCACCTGTTCAACAACAAAGACATCATGGAATGCAAACTAAGCTACAAACAGGTGCAATTTCAACAAAGAATTATGCAACTTATCTAACTACTTTACCTGAATTGAGTTCACTACAATTATTTGATTCTAACTCAGTTGATTCTTGTCCAAGTGAATTCGCTGGTACAGTCTATAGGGGTTTTTCCTTTCTAGCTGATATAACAGAAGTTGAGGAACCTAAGACATTCAAAGTTGCATCTTCTAAAGTTGAATGGAAATTGGCTATGCAAGAAGAGTATGATGCATTGAAGACACAAGGGACATGAGTTTTGGTTCCACCTCCACCTAACAGAACTATTGTAGGGAGTAAATGGGTGTACAAAGTTAAGAAGCATCCTGATAGATCAGTGTCCAGATACAAGGCTAGGTTAATAGCCCAAGGTTTCACTCAGGAACAAGGTTTAGACTACTTTGAGACTTTCAGTCCGGTTGTGTGACACACTTCTGTAAGAATTGTCTTAGCTTTAGCTGTCTAATATGGATGGAATATGAGACAATTGGATGCTAAAAATGCATTTTTACATGGTGATCTTGAGGAAGAAGTCTAAATGAAGCAGCCTCTAGGGTTTGTGGATCCTACTTGTCCAGGTTATGCGTGCAAACTTATCAAATCTCTTTATGGCTTTAAGCAAGCAACAAGAGCTTGGAATTCAAAATTCACGAGTTACATGCCTTCTCTTGGTTTTAAAGTCTCTTTATGTAATACTAGCCTATTTGTTAAAGTGGATGATGAAGATATTATTCTTCTTCTACTATATGTAGATGATATCATGGTCACTGGTTCTAATCCCACAAAAGTTCAAGAAGTTATTAGTGATCTTGCAGGAGTATTTGATCTTAAAGATATGGGAAAATTATCATTCTTTCTAGGATTGCATATATAATACAAGGAAGATGGCTCTTTATTCATCAATCAATAGAAGTATGCAAGAGATCTATTGAAAAAGGCAGCTATGGAGACATGTAAACCAACCACCACACCATCAAAACCACATACATAATTGCTTGAACAACAAGGTACTGCCCTTTCAGTCTAACTGCTTACTCAGACTCAGATTGGGCAGTTGACAGTAACACTCGAAGATCAATAACTAGTTTTGTGATTTACATGGGAGATAATCCGATCTCATGGAAATCTAAAAAGCAGTCTACAATCTCACGAAGTTCTACAGAGGCCAAGTACAAGGCTTTAGCTTACTCTACAACAAATTTATGTTGGATTAGATCTCCTTTTAAAGACATGCATCAAGGGATTTCAACTCGTCCATTACTTCATTGTGACAACTTGAGTGCATTAGCTTTGAGCTCAAATCCTGTTTTTCATTCAAAAATCAAACATCTCGACACTGACTACCAGTTTGTTATAGAAAAGTTACAAATAGGAGATCTATTTGTTCAATATATATCCACTGAAGATCAAATTGCAGATGTCTTTACAAAAGGGCTACATAGTCTAATATTTTTGAAGCATTGCAGGCATCTTGGCCTTGCAGTTCCAGATTAACTTCAGACAACTCACTGATTCAAACTTCACTTGGATACTCCAAGCTTCGTTTGAGGGGGGAGTAATAACAGAAACGTCACATGGCATTATCTAAGTAGTGGAGTTTGTTAATATTGTTAGAGGGTTAAACTGGTAATTTCGTAGGATTTTGGTTGACAATAAGTGTTTTATTAATTAGTAAAGATTAGAATTGACGTAGATGTCCAACTCAGCTGCCACATAAGGTGGTAGTAGAAATATGGTAAAAATAATTGGTAAGCCTAGGATTACTCTTTTAATATAGTTATAAATACATGCTATGTAATATATCAATGTGCAAATACATGAAGTTTGATGGGGTTTGGCTTTATTTCCTAAGCCTAAAACATATTATAATCCCTACAAATTTATCAAACTCCTTAACTTTTAAATTCAAATCATAATTGACTACATATAAAGTTTTATAGACTACTTTAAAATTTAATTGATTGAATACCCTCATATTTCTCTGGAATTTATAAACTCCTTTAGAATCTCAATTGAATAGCCATATGGACTTCCATAGATTCATTTAAAATCTTGATGATAGGGTGGCTGAAGGTCAACTTTGATAAGGCTTTCGACGAGCGACATGATCAGGGTGAGATTGGAGTGGTGGTCCGAGATTCAAATGGCTCTTTTGTTGCAGCAATAACACTGAACGCTGAGGGGATCAAATCCCTGACGTCGGTAGAGTGCATGACTACTTATGAGGTTGCTGCCTTTGCGCAATTGTGGGTCGGTTCGCAGGTGGAACTAAAAGGAGACGTTTAAATGGTGGTTGCAGCTCTCCAACAAGATTCCACAACAAACATGGGTCAATTTGGACATGTTCTAGATGATACTCGTCTGATGTTGAAGAACTTTTCTTAGGGGGAAGGTCTCGTTTATCAATCTCGAGGCCAACAATGTTGCACATTGCTTTGCAAGATATAGCTTGATAGTAACTAATCATTTGATGTGGTTTGAATAACCGCCAGATTTTATCTTAGATTCTTTATTTGAGGATAGCAACTCCATCTTGTAATTTGGTGCAGGACGCTCTTTTTCCCTTAAACCGGGTTGAAATCCCCAACAAGGTTTTTATCGAGGCCCTTAAGAGTATCTCCAAATGAGACGTCAAATATTGAACACCAAATTTTAATTTGATGATCTACATGGTAGTTTGACATCATGGTAAAATTACGTCTCCAACCAATATGTCTAATATACTATTTTGTATTTTAATATATTAATTTTTCAAATCATAATAAGTGCTAAAAGAAATATAAATAGCTACACTTATGCCAAGCATTTAACGCAAGGCTAGTCCATAAGTTGAAAAAAAAAAAAAAAAAAAAACAACCAAAATAATTATTTGCCATATGAATTTTGAGGCAGCACTTTTGACACCTCCCACCAAGCCTTCAATCCACATCAACTTTTGGCTGATGGGTTGGAATGAAATGAGATGTCATTTTTCACCGTTACACATCATCGGTTGAAGATGCTCTAACATGCACCATATTCTTAGCATTGGACGCATTCCCTCATTATTAGTGAATATCGTACTTTTTTTTGAAAAAAAAAATCTTGATTAAATAACTATGAATTTTGTAAAACTCTTTTAAAACTATTTAAACTCCAAATTGAATACACAACATTTAGTGAACTTTATTATGTGTTAACTTGAGAGAAATCCTTCAAAATCTCAAGGGAGAGTGGATGATGAAATTCCTCCAAATCATCAAAATCCTATAAAATCAAATTCTTATTTAGCAGATGACGCTTTACTACAATGGCAGAAAGCAATCATGCCCATGCACCTTAGTGTAGGTTCGATTCCCACTGTTTCTTTCTTCCTAACAACTAATTAATTAACCCATTAACCCTAACATTCTACTAAAAATCATCATTTAATACACTTAAAAATTTTATAGGCTCCCTTAAAATCTTAATTGAATACAGCTAAATTTTATGAACTTTTATGAACTCCTTTGAAATTCTAATTGAATACCTCTTCCCTTTTAAGATACTTTTTTCTTTTTTTACCAAACAATATTATCTACACTAAGGGAAAGGGTGTGGCTAAGCCTCATAATAGGCTCACAATAATTTGGTTCAAATTTACCTTTACTTTTTAAGATAAATTTAAATGATCACAAATACTCTTGGATTTTAAACTTTTTTTATATTCTTCAAAATCCCAATTGAATACACTCCTAGAAAATACAACTTTTGTTTTAAATTAAATCTTTATTTAACACACTTAGACTTTTATAAACATTTAAAATTCTAATTAAATACAGCTGAATTTTTATGAGCTCCTTTGAAATTTTAATTGAATATCTCTTGTCATTTAAAATACATTTAAATCCTCATAAATACTCTTAGATTTTTAAACCTTTTTCAAAATTCTTCAAAATAAACTCCTAAAAAAATCTTTTTTTTAAATTTAAATCCTTATTTAATACATGTGAACCTTTTATAGACTCCTATAAAATCCTAATTGAATACCGCCAGATTTTATGACTTTTATGAGCTCCTTTAACATTCTAATTGAATATCTCTTGCTTTGAAGATACTCTGAAATCTTCTGTCACTTAGTACTACAGTCTAGTAGTATTCCTCTTCACTTGTAAGTGAGAAGTTTTAGGTTCGAATCTCGCTAAAGGCGAATTTGAATCATGTTATTGCTAGTCCATTGTGAGGCTAAGCCCACCCCATTCTCTTAGGGTAAATAATATCATTTCTAAAAAACACTCAAATCCTCATAAATACTCCAATATTTTTTAAACTCTTTTAAAATTCTTCAAAATCTCAATTGAATACATTTCTAAAAACACAACGTTTACTTTTTATTTTTTTATATATTACATTTTTTTAACATGAATATTACTGAATATATGGTGAATTGTATTAAAGGTATTTCCTAGTGGCCTGGTAAACAAATTTGATGAGTGGTAAGCCTAATATTGTTGAAACGTAAAACTAGGTAGGCCACTTTGAATGGACAAGTTTTTCAGTTCTTTAATTTGGATTGTAACAAGTTTTCTAATCTATGTGATGATAGTTGCAAGTTTCCAGGCAACTGGTAATTTTCAACCAACCAAGCCAACTTTTTTACAGCTACCCAATATGGTCCATTTTCAAAACAAAAGGATAAACCAATGGCCATGCATGCATATGATGTCCCCGTAAATTAATTTACCAAATAACCCACAAATTGCACATTATCCCCAGCACCACCCTCCCTCTCTGTCCTCTCTATACATACCCCCTTACCATGAGACATCTTTCCTCACACCCTCCATTCCCAAATAACCAAATCCCAAAAGAAAAAATATATATATGGGTTCCCTCCCTCAAATAGTAGAAGATTGCATGGGAGTTCTCCAAGTCTTTAGCGACGGTTCGATCAAACGCTGCTCCTTAACGGACATAAACGTCAACATTCCTGTCATTGACGACGGCTCCGTGGCCTTCAAAGACATAATTTTCGACACAAAACATAAACTTTCCCTCCGTTTATACAAACCCAAATCAGCAAACCTCAATTCCAAGCTCCCCGTGGTCTTCTACTTCCACGGTGGCGGCTTCTGCGTTGGCTCGCACGTGTGGCCAAATTGCCACAACTGCTGCATCCGCCTATCTTCCGGGCTCCAGGCACTTGTCGTGGCCCCGGGCTACAGGCTCGCTCCAGAGCATAAGCTTCCGGCTGCGATTGATGATGCAGTGAGTGCAGTGGAGTGGCTGCAAAAGGAGGCATTGGGTGAGAGCACGAATGATGCATGGATTGGTGGTACGGCTGACTTGAATCGGGTTTTTGTATTGGGTGACTCTTCAGGTGGGAATATGGCCCACCACCTGGCGGTTCGGCTTGGGATGGGGTCTGTCAAGGCGGCTCCGGTTAGGGTACGGGGGTATGTGCTCCTAGCGCCATTTTTTGGTGGGGTGGAGAGGACAAAGTCAGAGGAAGGTCCTTGTGAGGCATTGCTAACTTTGGAAATACTTGACAGGTATTAATTCAGAACTTTTTTAGTCTTGTCCTTTCCTAGTTTGCACATTAATGCCCTCTTCATTATCTTTTTTTTCTTCTTTTTGAGGAAAATTAATGCTCTCTTATCTTACAACATGGTATTTGAAAATCCTCGCGTTCAATCTGAATCATAAATTCAAGGAACATGATATAACATATATTGCTATATATATATATATATATATATATATATATATATATATATATATATAAAGTGAAAATCTCACAACTTAGCATATTAAGTTGTTTGATCGGATAAAAACCCATATTTGGATCTACTTCTACACCTTAATGCTCAAAAGAAGTCACAACTAATAAAGTGCCCAAAAATTGGCACACTATCCAATTACTTAATTCGGATTCTTCGGATGTGTGTACATGTATCTTCTGCTTAGAAAAGTTGCACAAATTCTAAGTCAACTCCATGCACGAGACGAAATTCCATAAATTAATGTATTTTCTTTCACTTGGTGTCAACTTTTTTGTTTTCGTTCTTCAATGGGGGATCAGTTAGGGTCAACTTGTTTGTATAAAAACCCAAAACTCGTATATACCATTTATCTCTTTTACGAGAAGTTTTTATGTGACCACAAAATTTGTGATCATTGTCACTTCCTGTTATTGTTTAGTGGTATTTCTCTTTATTTGTAAGTGAGAGGTCTTGACTTCGATTCTCGCCAAATGTGAATTTAAAGCACATTATTATGGCTCGCCCATTATAAGGTTTAGCCCATTCATTACTCCCTTAATATAGAAAATATCGTTTGTTAGAAGGAAAAAAATTGTAATCATTTAAATGTTATATATCTTGACCATAAAAGATGTCGGCACATGTGAATTGCATCGTAATTACTTGTCCCTTCAAAATATGGTCTAAAATTAGAAGATCTTCTAGATAATTATAGGTGATGACTACTAGAAGACACCTACATAGGGTAGAAGTAGAAGATGCCTCCAAATCCCACTAAAGTTGATGATGTGAAACTCATTTCTTCCTTACGTGTGTCATTACTTGAACTTGAACGAGTCATCTTTTAAAATTGGAGGTGTCCTTATCCAAATAATATCTCAAATAATAATTTAAGCTTAATTAGCTTGTGTTTTACCAACATGGGCAATTCAAAATACTACTAATAAAAATGATCATAACTTAATTAGATTTAAACACGTAATGTTTATTGACTAATAATGACGGATGGCACAATCTTATTAGGTTGTTATTAGGTTGCTTATCCATTAAGCTAGCTGTTACTATATATTGTAGGATCCCTTTCCTTTTCTAAGTAACTCAGACAATAATATCAAAGCTTCATTTTCTTCAACCTTTCAACTTCTCTCGGCTCTTATTTCATTCGGGCTCTTATTTCATTCTTTGATCCTTTGATTCTGTTGCTCTAATGATGAACTGTTATGAATGTTTAGTGATAAAGAATATCAGTTGGTATTTTTAAACAGAGAAAATTCGCACTTGGGGCTTTCTTACAGTCATGGGTAGAGAAACAACAATAAATAATAAGAAAAACTAATGAAAATGGATTGAAAACTTTGAGTTTTAATGATAAAGACAAAATAAAGGGTAAAGTGAATAGTACTAGGATTGATTTTTTAGTGTAAAAATATGGTTTTTCGTTAAAGTGAACAGTATCATGGATTTTTCGTTAACACTCCCATAATAATAGTTAGTCGGTGACCGCTTTGATAGCTTTAAAAAATTTGGATATAAAAAATGGGAGCTATTATTGACGAGAAAGTAGTCATGATGCACTTATTTGAGAGAGGATCCTCACCGGATCCTATTTGTGAGGATCACAGTAATACTCCAATCACATCCGTTCATTATATATCGTGCGGTCAGTTTTTGTCAGGTACTATTTATATTCAATTTTAAATAATAAAAATTACAATGATTTCTGACCGCATGATGTACGATAAACAGATGTGATCATTTGGCTAATAAGAAAACAAAAAAGGGAAAAGCATGATGATTGTTTTGGAGTATATGTTCATAACAATTAGCGAAAAAATCTCTTATTTTGTTTCTCAACGGAAAAAGGAGAGGGGTTCAAACTTAGTACCTTTTTTAATACTAGAAAAAAAAATACTGTGGTTTTGACAATTATTCAAGATACTTTGATTTGATTTGTGTGGTATGAACATATGCAACGTTGTTACTTACCAAGCATGAATAATGATCAAACTTTGAGTTTCTTTCCAAACGTGTAAGATAGTGCTTAATCCAATATAAGTATGACCTTTCAAATGATTAAGATAGTGCCATATCCATTTATCTATTTTTATAATCAAACCACATTCCTTGTCATCCTCCCTTAACCAATAACAAATGCATACTTATTGGTTCTAATATCGTACATGTATTTGACTCTCAATACATAGAAATAAATTTACGAGAGCCGCCTTTAGGACATTTTTTAATGATCATTTCTCTTTTTTGGTTTAACAATATTCCTTTAAGTATTATTCTCACGTCAATATTTGATATGTATCAAGGATCCCTGGCCGATTTAAAGAAATTGGTTTGATATCTGTGTTAACTGTCTTCTATAATTTGTTTTATTCAACAATTATCTTCCATAAAATTAATTTAATGGTTAATATTCCATGCAGATTTTGGAGGCTTTCAATGCCAGCAGAAGAAACCAGAGACAATCCAATGGTCAACCCGTTTGGACCGAACAGTCCAAACCTTGAGAAGGTGGCCCTTGATCCCATTTTGGTTGTCGTGGGTGGCAATGAATTGTTGAAAGATAGGGTGGAGAGTTACTGGAAAAAGTTAAAAGATTTGGGAAAGAAAATTGAGTATGTCGAATTTGAAGGACAGGAACATGGCTTTTTAACGAATGATCCATACTCAGAAGTCTCGAATGAAGCTTTGCAAGTTATTAAAAGATTTATGACTGAAACCTGCAACTGAATAAGGAATTAATCACCATGCATGTGATATATTGTTGGATCAGTTTCCAGCTATAGCTCTTTAATTTATTCTGAAGTGTTTGAGCTTGTATGTTTATAGACAAGAATTTGAAGTTAGCACCTTGCTTTTTTAATTTTTTCCTTCTGAATCTGATCAAGCTATTAGTATATATTAATGATGAAAAGTTATATTTATGGTTATTACTATAATATTGGGGAGTTGTATCAAAATATTATGTATGTATGCATGCACGTATGTATGATGTATGTATGTATAATGTTGTAGGAGTACATTGAGGAAGAAAGGGTGTGATAATCATCTCACAAATTTTATCATTTTAAATATGTAATTATTATTTTTCAGAAATTTGACGGTAGGAGGGAGCTTTATTTAAGGTTTGAAAAAGACACAACTTAGTATTACTATTTAATAATATTACTCTCTATTTTGTAAGTGTGAGCATTATGTTCGACTTTTTAAATTGCAAGTTAAATATCAATTTATTATGGCTAGACTGTTGTGTAACTTAGCTTAAATCTGTCACCCCTTAATGTAAATATATTATTTTATACAAAAATAAAAATAAAAAGACAAACAGGAGACATAGGGCCTAACCCCCAACTATAATCTTTAACTACAATAGCGTCTTGAATATTATTAGGAGGCATCTCAAACAGTTAAAATAAACGAGCACAAATTAAAACAAACCGAGCTAACGTATCATTTCAAGTAATTTTTTAGTGTATATGAGTGATCATATTGGTTTAGAAATAAAAGAAATGTATTCTTAAGTTATAATCTACAAGATGTATAGTTAAGTAAACCCAAACATGATACGATTACGTGTATTAAGTTAGTTTTGAGTTATATACATGATTAATTAAACATGGTAGATTAATCAAGTAGCAAAATATTTGACAGGGATACAAGCTAGTATGGTTCGAAAATGACCTCAATTGATGCCATATTTACTTTATTGTTGAGTCTTTACAAATAAAAAGAAATTGAGTAAGACTTATGTTGATTTAACAATAATAAACGTCCCTATCGATAACTTTTAGACCAAACTCCCACTCAAATCAAACTTTTCGTATGAGATTTTGGTACACTATCCAATATTGCTTTTATGCTAAATGATAAAATTGTTCCTTGTCTGATTAGGAGAGTATCCTTTTGAGAAGATTTAGTGGTCCATATTATCAATCCACTGTCATGCTTTGGATTAGGATTTAATTGTATATGTATTTATTAAATACAAATTGCGCCTTATCTAATTGACCTTATTTTAAAGATTAATGTCTCAGCACGCGATTTCCTTTTGGTTCACGCACTGCTCAGTGCTTTGACAATATTTTGGAAATGCTCATTTATAAAATACTTATGTGTAAAGCGTTGCAAATTAGAAGTATTACGAAATTTGTGATAAAATGGAATGTGTGGTAGCAAAATATGTCGTCTTTCAATTTTGATGAATTTGTACCTACAAAACAATTAACACATTCATCACAGACCAAAACTATGTTAGTGCGTATGAAAAGAGTGAGTGTTTAGGACTCGCATGCGTAGCAAAAGATGATCAAAATTTAGTGGAGATGGAGTGGCTGGCTATAGGGTTAGGGTTTTGCCTTACACATTATGCGAGGTGTGTCATCCGTTGGATGAATGAGGGAAGAGTATTCTGAATATATTAATTAGGAGATAATATCTTGGGATGATGATGAAGCATCCATGATTGATTGTGATAGGAATTCCTTACTTGATAAAGTTGATCTACAATTGATACTGTATTAAAGATAGGAGTAATTAATCCGACCTTTAATGATTTTGACTTTTCAACGCCACGACTAGGGGAGGCCTTAGTGGTCATAGTGAACTGCTTGGACATTCAGGATGCTGAGTTGTCGTGGGAGTATTTGAGAGCCCTACCCATTTAATGAGGGCAATCTTGTTTTTCTAAAGAAAAAGTCCATGTGTTGTCATATTGATGTTTGGGATTATTTGTTGCTCTACACAATGCTTCATGGTTTGAAGTGCTTTTGGTTAAACATAATTGTAAGTGCTTTTAGTGATTTGAAAGCGATTTTAATAATTTTAAAATCATTTTAAAAATGATTAATCTCAGTTTACTATCATGAAGTTTCTTGGTTTCAACATTTGGTATATGAAGTTTTTTTTCATCTCAGAATGGTACCTAAAGTCATAATTTTAGGCAACTTTCATACATCCATTAAGTTTCCCGTCAGAACCTCTATTAACTGATGACGTGGCACCCACATGGACAATGACTGAGGGTCATGCGTCAGTATAGGTCCATGTGAATATTAAAAAAAAAAACAATTTAAAATTTAAAATTTAAAAAACTAAAAAACCAAACCTAAACCTAAAAAACCAATCTTGGTCTCTCTGTTTCTTCTTCCCCACCCAACACAGAAAATCATGATCCTTCCTCTTCCTACGCCTCTTCCCCTCCCCCTCCTCCTTCGCCAATGCCACTCCCCTCCCAGCTTTCTTTCTCTCTCCCATCCAATCCAACGACCAACCCCTCTTTTTTGTTCTGCCTCTCTGCTCTTGCTTTCAATTCTTCTTCTCTACACGAAGATATGAAAATCATAAGCATTGACAAGGCATTCATCACTATGAAACGCATGAGACTCATACCAAGGATTTACTTAACACGATTGTGACTAGCAACCTCCACTACTTGTGAATATAAGTGAATAAATATAACGTCAGACCCCCTTATACTCTAGCATCAAGTTCATGAATGCAAATCTTGCAGGTACTCTCTCTCTCCTCCTCGATCTGTCTCTCTCTACCTCTATGATTTTTAATTTTTTTTTCTTCCATTTTTTGTGAATTTGAAGGAAGTTCATAATCAAATCTCCACCAAGAACAAGTGGATTTGCAGGACGTCAGGGTCTCCAAGCTAGATGTGGGTAAGGGTCCGATTTGGGAGCGCCCAACGGTACGAATTCGGTTCGGATTCAAGAAGATCCACGTTGGCGTCGGATTTCAAGCAAAGGGTTGGAGGCCTTGACCAGATCCGGAGGAGGAGGGTAGAGATATGCAGCCTTGGGCTTGGCGTGTTGGAGGATTGGGCTCCGTGAATAACTTCATGCGGTTTGGCTGAGGTTGGGTTTTGGGGTGTGGAGGATGGGGTTAGGTTTTGGGATGAGGAGGATGAGGGTTTGGAGCAGGAGGTTGCTGGGGATTTGCGACTTGGTTCAAAATGGGGATGGGAAAAACCCTTAGTTTTTTTTTTTTCTTTAAATTTTTTTTCTTCTTTTTTTTTTAGTTTTAATTTATTATTATTTTTTTTTTTTAAGTTTTTATTTTTTATTTTTTTTTTAATATCCAAGTGGGGTCAACTTGAATTTTTAATTTCCACGTGGACCCCTTAATGACACGTGGGGCTCAGTTATTGTCCACATGAGTATCACGTCATCAATTAACGGAAGACTTAACGGTCAGACTAACGGATATATGAGACTGTCTCAAAATTAACACTTTAGGTATGACTCTAAGACGAAAAAAACTTCATGTACCAAATATTGAAAACTACGAAACTTAAGGGTAGTAAACTGAGATTTATTCTTTTAAAAACGTGGAAACATTTTAAATTAGGTCGGTTCTACATATGATATATTTTATTGTCGATTTGACATGTCTGGTGCATTTTTCCTGCAGTGAGATTAATGTGGTGCACGAGGCTGACTCTGTATATCGATTAAGTTTTGACTAGGGAGGTTCTTGACATAAGCGGCAAAGCATAGGTGGGTTGCTAGTGAAAGACGACATAGACATATCCAACGATTTCAACAACAAAGTTTGATAGACGGTAGGTGTAGATTGTCGAATTTTGTAAATTTGATTGATGCTGGGACTCATGGATTATGATAAAGTAAGAGCATCCAAGTCAAAACCAATCAGATTTTGGACACACAATATTTCAGCGTGTAAGACAAGAGTTCAATGAAAAATGTGATGCAAGATAACTGAACTGTTAGTTGATGATGGCAACTCCACGCCAAATGAAAAAAATACTATAATTGATGGGGTAGCAGGAAGAAGAAAAACCATTTGAGGTTGAGGCTGCAAACTTGGATAGGGCAGTCGGAGGCCAAACTTTTTTAGATAACGATAATTATTATGACATAAACCGAATATTCTACATATATTTTTTACCTCTTTCACCCATTATTTTGTTATGGTTTCATATTAAATTGTCGTTTTTAATGCGTTTTAGGATCATTTCTCCTTTTTGGTTTAACAATATTCCTTCAAGTATTATTCTCACGTCAATATTTTGTATCATTTTAGGATCCCTAGCCGATTTATAAGGTCATCTCCTACCGACTCGGCCAAAGGGTCATATGTAGGGCTAAAAATAGATTGAAATGACACGAAAACCGTCTCCAATCGAGGGCTAAGCCAAAGAGCTTGTGGGTCCTACTAGGCCAAAACCACCAAATCGGGCCAGAGGCCTGGCCATTTCCAGCCAAACAGCCTGATGAGCCCATCCCAATTTTTTTTTTTTGTTGGACAATTTTTTTTTCCTACATCATTTCTCACTTACTTCTCACCATTTCTGTAACATCCCACATCGTCCAGGGGAGTGATCCTTAATTGTATATTCTCATCCCTACCTAGCACAAGGCCTTTTGGGAGCTCACTGGCTTCGGGTTCTGTAGGAACTCCGAAGTTAAGCGAGAAGGGGGCTAGAGCAATCCCATAATGGGTGACCCACTGGGAAGTTGCTCGTGAGTTCCCAAAAACAAAACCGTGAGGGAATGGTAAACCCAAAGCGGACAATATCGTGCTACGGTGATGGAACAAGCCTGCGAAGTGATCCGCCTCGGGCCGGGATGTGACAATTTCATACTATTTTATCTCATTTTATTTCAATTCTTCACATTCTATTCTCTTCCAATAATCTTTCCTTTAATTTTTTCAATAATTTTCAAATGGCCACCTCTTTCAATAATCTTCCAATATGTTCGAAAATCTTATTTTAATATGGTAGTTTAATTTAATTAACTATATTAATTCAATTAAAATAATAAATTACGTTTGGCCTATGACCTTTTAGTCCCCTTGGTTGGAGATGGTATAAAATATGTTATGGCACTGTTCATTAAAATATAATTTCTTGCAGAGCTATAGGGCTAAACATAGCCCTTTGGCCCTCCTTCGGTTGGAGATGGCCTAA